GGACTGGCAACCACCGGACTTGCCAGTGGGTCATTCACCGGGCCCTTTGGCCATGGCAAATGCAAGAGCTTCGCTCTTCTTCTTCTCAGCGATGATATCCTGCTTCAGCTGTCGCAGGATAGCCTGAGATAGCTAGTCATGTTGGACCTTGAGAAAGGCAAGTTCCTCCCCCATCACATGTAATGGTTATAGGTAGAACTAGACCTACAAGATGAACAATTCTACAGAATGAAACAAAAATAGTAAAATATACACTCAATTTGAAACAATGTTATTCACGTAAAGTACAACTTACTGTTTTAAAAATGCTGAGATTTACAGTGACAATATTCAATATCAAGTACACAACTAATAACAGATGAAGAAGGCATTTATTTACTGCAAAACATTTTACAATAATACTGGTTCTGTACCAAGTTTCTGTATTGTATTTATATAATCATATCTGTAATAACATACCCATGTACAATTTGTCATAATGAAAAATACAGAATTTATTCTGCACTTAAAAACTACATCCTTATCTTTACATATTCCTTAATATTACAACTGTGTTTGGCAATGTGGTGCTAAATGTAAAATAGAGGTTGTACTGTATTGTTTAAATTTAAAAGGAAACAAAAATTTAGACCATGTGGACAGAACCTGAGCATTAACATACTGTTATGCTATACAAATTTAATGACTTGAGACTCACTGTTTTTCATGTAATGTAATTCAGTGAAGCTGTCCATAGTTGTACAAGTGATTACCGTCTCTCTTCAGAAAGAAACTGAAACTCCTTATGCAATTGCTGCCCAGGTACTCCAAGCTTCTCACTCAGTTTCAAGGCTGCCTGGTGGTTTCCAATGGAGAACAAATGTCGAGCAAAATCAAGGTCGACAGCAATCAGCAGTGGCTGTGATGTCAGATAAGGAACACTATAAACTAGCAAATTCAATTCTCATCAAAATACATCCTACCTTACAATGCCTAATGCAGGAGCAGAGATTATCAAGAGACAATTTCTATTCAGATTCTGAGATTACATTTTTGTCGCTGCAACTAACTGAATTCTTCACTTTTAATTTGAAAGAAACTTGGGAATGTGCTGGAGATATCCATTAATACTGCAAATAAGATTTCCAAGAGCGAAGAGGATAAGGCTAAAAACATGCTATACAAAAATTGCACAACCCTGTCACACAATCTATAAATATATCTAAAGTGCTAGCTTGAGGCAGTCAGCATCAAGCTGGCATCAAACCCACATCTTGCATAATTTTGGAACTCCGAAAATTTTAGATTTCACAGAGAATAAGTATTATTAGATTAGGGCTGAGGTCTCTTTTGAAATATTCAGGGGAAAACGTGTTTTTCCCTAATCAAATTTAGTTCAAAGTAAAATTGTTTATAAATAAAGAAAAATTATTACAAGAGCTGCATAATCAATAACACAGCTTCAATTTTGTGTTCACTGCTTCTTTCTATAATACTCTTTACTACACAGTAAAACCAATAAAACTGTAACAGGATATATACACACATATGAAACAATACTAGAACAAACAAAACAAAAATGAAGTATACATCAAATTCAATAAATAATAGCTTTAAAACTAAAAATGGCATGCATTTTGTAATATTCCCTTCAAAGGAATAAAAGAAATGTCAAAATGTAGGTTTAAATAAAAATATCCAGCTCCTCTCACAAATACAATGTTATTTCAACTCACAGATTAAACCTTGTGGCGTGATCCAATTCAAAATTACTACCAATATTATGTATCAGTTTAGACATTAGGCAGGACTCTTTGAACACATGATCAGCCTAACACAAGGCCTCTGTCTACACAAAACAGCAGAACAAACTTCCATGGTTACAATAAATATCTTAGGAAGGAGATATATCTTCTGTAACTCTTTTAAAGGATATCTTGTAAGCGAGCTTCAGGTGATATTATCTCGTACTCCTGACAAGCTTGCAACAGGAGTCCAGCTTGGGCATGCAGCTTTTGAGACCCAAGGAGCTCCAACACACGCAAAAACTGGCACATTGACAGCAATACCAGTAATGCTTTGTTCTTGAAACAGAAATAACATGACCACATTTCACAGCTAAAACCAATGAAAAGTGCATGACAGAATGGAACAATCTAGGCCTCGGTAAATTTGTTTATTCCCTTACTAAAAAAGAATACTGAAAATGTTTTACTCTAGGAAAGGTGAAATTCTTTAAGTCATAGGACTTTACACACACACATTACATACATACAACAATACACACATATATTGCCTGGAAAAGTATGCCAAGACCGACTCACCACACTAAAAGTTAATT